CCCCCTTTTTCCGGGGCCCCCCCCGGTTGTTTGCCCCCCCCCCCCCTTAATCCTTTGGAACCCCCTTTGGGGATCAGATCGATGTCGTGGTATCCGCAGTGCTTTTTGTTCAAGTAACATTTATTTTTACTTTGATAACGGCCCCAAAAGCGCAAGAAGGTAGTGATGCTGGCAACTTTGGACATGCCAAAAGAGAAAGCCATAAAAGCGCTTTCCTTTTAAGTGGGAAAGGTGAACATTCTGGACTTAAGGAAAGAAAAAAATCGTATGCTGAGGTTGCTAAAATTTTCAGTAAGAACGAATCTTCTATCGTGAAATTAGGAAGAAGGAAAAAGAAATTCCTGCTAGTTTTGCTGTTGTACCTCAAACTGCAAAAGTTACAGCCTCAGAGTGTGGTAAGTGCTTAGATAAGATGGAAAAGGCTTTAAATTTGTGGGTGGAAGACACGGACAGAAAACGTGTTCCAATTGATGGCAGCATGCTGCTCAAAAAGCACTGAGCCTGTGAGGACTTCAGCAGGGACCCCTGAAACCAGGCCATTCACAGCAAGTGCAGGGTGCTCACAGATCCAGGGACAGGAGTGGCATTTTATCAGCTCACATCTCAGGAATAGAAGGGGCAGTACAGTGCAATAAGATGTTCTGAGAGAGATCACATCACGTGACTTTTATTATAGTCCATTCTAGATTCTAGATACTCTATTTTGTTAATCTCTTGCTGTGCCTGTTTTATAAATTAAGCTTTATCATAGGTATGTGTGTGCAGGAAAACCGTAACATATAGGAGGTTTGGTTTTATCTGTGGTTTCAGGGTCTTGGAACATATCCCCGCAGATAAGGGGGAGACTATCTTCTGTACGATTGGAGACTCAGAAATCAGCAGCTAGAAAAGAGCCCAACAAGAGAAAGTGACAGGAATACTCTGTATCGTTATAGTCAAGGTTGTCTGATTAGTGGACATCACTCTCAGGAGCCTGTGAAGAGAGATGGCTGAGGGCTTTGGAAATCATCACAATGAATAAGGAAGTACAACTTGTTCAGATCTTAGTTCTGTATTTCATGTCAGATCAACAGATGTTTCAGATGTTTTATTTAAGATCCGCTGAGTGTTTGGCAAAGGTACATCAGGTACCAAGTCAAGTATCAGGATAGGCCAGCACTGGGCTGAAAGGAAAGTGCCGAGTTCTGTTTTAGCTCTCCTGCCGATCCAGCATAAAAGTAAGGAGAGAGATCTGTTGGGGAGTTACAGAAATGGTACCAGAACTTACATGTGACAGTAAAAAAAATGTGAGGCATCACGGAGAAATGATCATTTAAATTAGGAGAAATATTAACTTTCTGGGGGAGAAAGAGTAGGAAATCTATATTAGAGATTAGGAAGAGGGCTGGGCATAGTGATAGTCCTTTTGGGAGAGCTGTATCATAGAAAAGAGAGTTTCAAGCAGAAATTAATAGTATCAATTACAGAGAACTCTACTGATTAAATGCCCTCTCAAAAAGATGGCAATTTTTTTCAAACACTTTTTTTAAAATATGTTTTTACTGATTTTTAGAGAGGGGATGCAGCATCATCAATCGCTGCCTCCTGCACGGCTCCTACTGGGGATCGTAACCCCAGGCATGTGCTCTAACTGGGAATCAAACCGGTGACCTCTTGGTTCCTGGGTCGATGCTCAACCTCTAAGCCACACTAGCTGGTCAGAGGTGGCAATTTATAACCACCAGCAGCAGCTGTAGAAATGCTGTTGGAACTATAGTAGATTATCATTGGGAATGGAGGTTATGTCAAGTTAGAAGGTCTGTAAGGGTCTAGTGTTTAAGGTGAATCCATGACTCAGCACTCATGGCAGTACAGGACAGTGCAGACATGAAGCCAGAAGAATGCATGACTCAGCACTCATGGCAGTACAGGACAGTGCAAGATGAAGCCAGAGGGATTCATGACTCAGCACTCATGGCAGCACAGGACAGTCCAGAGATGAAGCCAGAAGACTTTCTGTCCAGATGGGCTACTGAGAAGCTGCATGGCCTTCAACAAATTGTCTAAGCTCTAAAATAGAGTCTAAATAAATCACCATGTGTCCATCACCAGAACCTGTGAGAAATAGATACTATACATGTAAGTACTTTGTCTATAGCATAAACATTGTTTTCCCAGTTAGTATTTGAACAAGTTTCCTTTACTCTTTATATAAATAGAGCAAAATGCTCAAGAATAGATTTTTGACTTTTTTCTTTCAGAATGCTTTTTAAAAATGATCTTTTAAGAATTTAAAAGTAAAATTTATATTTGATTTAGGTTCATCAAGTTGAAGAGAAATGCGTGGACT